GCAGCCCCTCTTGCTCATTTTTTATGAAAAAGGTGTTGCTGCTGAGCAGTAAAACCCTCTCTCTTTAGTCCACCATGATCAGGCTACACACCCAGGCTGTGGCGGGCACCCCAGGGCACTCCCCTGCTCTTTGGAGGGGTGTGACCTGGGGGTGGCCACCTCCTGAGGAGAGTCACTGGTGAGCCATCCCTGTCCCCACCCCCTCCCTTTTTCCCCAGAAGTCAGACGGCCTCTTGAGAAAGAGGGGGTGGGGACAAGGATGGCCCAGCCCAAAGGACAGGGAGGCAGGGGATCCCGGTGCAATCCCCTGCCAATTGACTGTGGGGTTCAAACTGGGGGTCTCCTCCAACTCGGGCGAGTATCCCAGCCACTGGACTAGAGTGTGAAGGGAGCTGGGCGCCTGCCCTGGCAGCACATTGAACTCAAGTGGAACGGCTTCCACAGGCAAGAGGGACGGCTCCCTATGCCTACGACAGGAAGGGACAGGCCTCAGGACAGACGTGAACCCACACAGCCCTTGGTAGAAGCGCGGAGCTTAGCCATGGGGCTGCGAGGGAGCTGGAGGATGAGGTTGGCCCAAAGCACATTTCACTGAAGTGGAACAGTTCCCGCAGGCCAAAAGGTACCGCAAAGATCAACTGCAGGGGAGATCTGAATCCCCTTTGGCACCATCCCGGGCAGGGCCGGATTAAGGGGGGGGCTAGCCGGGCAGCTGCCCAGGGCGCCAACCTATGGGGGGTGTCTGATTGAAGTGGTAAGGAGTGCCGCATCAGGCGCCCACCATAGGTTGTCACCCGGGGGCGGGACCCTGCATTTGGGGCTGCGCCCCGTACACGTCAATCAGGTGCCATGCGCCCAGGACGGGGCCGAGCATGCGCCACGCGCCCGCTGCCCAGAACACAAGACTGGCTCGGGCCGGCCCTGATCCCAGGCACACGGCTCAACCCCCAGGGAGGAGAGGACACTGGAGCTACAAGTGGCCTCAATCACACACAGTTCAAGTGGAACAGCTTCCAGAGCAAGGGGGACAAAGAGGAAGAAATCGGCTAGTGTGAAACACTGGTGTGTAGGTGTTCCAGCCTGCCCACAGAAAGCCAGCTGACTGCCGTGGAACCTTAAAGGGGACAAAAGCCCTCTTTGGTTTCTCTTCTCTCTGCGGCTCAGCTGTGGTCTTCCACCAGCTCTTTCCCCCGTGCCACCGAAAGCTGAAGTAGCATCACATCCACTGGCAGCCCAGATGTTCGGCGAGATAAGACAGGAGTCCGTTCCCAGCTCTGTGCGTGGGAATTAATCTCTTCTCTGGGCCAGCCCCGGTTTTGAAATGAAATTCATCTGGCCCCCAAGAGCAGCGCGGTATCTCAACCAGACAGAGGCCACGGCACCATGGTAGCGCTTTGTTTACTCTCAGTGTTTGCCTTGCTTGAGCAACATGCAAAGAACACGCCTGAATCAGCTTCTTCGTGATCTACCTCGAGGGCTGGGGTTACAAAATAGTTGCCAGTCATCGTGCGAGGTTGTGAAAGCCACCGGTAACACGCTTCACGACTAGGCAACTATCTCTGTGTACACGTCACTATCTGCACTTCATGAACGTTTGCGGTGCTAGATTTATTATTTGAATTCGGTCGCATTGCTTCGCTGGTGACATTAACTCAGTCGGGTTCCAAACATTTTGCCTTTGGTCGGTCCCCCTGCAGTCTCTCTTGCCAGATTTGACTCATTCTTCATGTGCACAATTGTCACCACAACAGCTGGGTATTGACATTTTACTCCAAGGACAATGTTGAACAGCTGATTGGACAGCTCCCCAAAAGTTTTGCACTGGGCTCTAGCCGTGCATACCACCTGCAGAAGCATCATGAAGTCAGTAATAGCTAAAATGACTCATCAAAAGTTGGTCACTCAATCACTGACAGATTTCTCTCCAGCTCTTGCTGCTGCTTCTTTTGGTCAGTTGTTAGGTTGAGCTTACCGAATGACTTGCTGCTTTTCTTGTGTGCCTTCTCTGCCATCATGCAAACTTTCTGCCATTTCAGGTGGGACCACAATGTTCACAAGTGGCCATCAGATGTCTGAGCTTGTTTCAGGTTCAGAGCTGAAAGGCTTTGTCATTCTTTCAGTCACTACTGTCATAATATCTTGGACAGCAGTTTCATCCACAGCTGTGCCCTCTTGTGGTTGTTTCTTTGTGGAGATCTGTGGCTGAAGACTGCATGCCGTGCAACTGCCTTGTCTTAGATGGTACAGCTGCCTTAAAATGTGTGGAGACAAGGTGGGCGAAGTCATATTTTGATTGGGCCAAGTTTGCTTGGTGCTCAAGAGCTTGTCTCTTTCACCATGAGAAGTTGGACCGATAAAACACCCCCCTTCCTCTCAGATATCTTGGGACAAACACAACAGCAAATGCACAGTCAGCCTTCACACAGCACACAGTCAACCTGTGGAACTCCTTGCCACAGGATGTTGTGACGGCCAAGACTATAACAGGGTTAAAAAAAAAGCTAGATAAATTCATGCAGGAAAGAGCCCTCAATGGCTATTAGCCAGAACAGGCAGCTTATGTTTGTCAGAGGCTGGGAATGGGCGAGAGGGGATGAATCCCTTAATGTTCCCTTTTCTGTTCCTTCCCTCTGAAGCACCTGGCATTGGCCACAGCCATGCACAATACTTGGCTCGATGGATCTTTGATCTGACCCAATATGGCCGTTCTTATGCTTTTATGTTTACCACTGCAAGCAACTTTAAATGCTTCCCCTAGTTCATGTTGAGTGACTGCTCCGTGATCATGTACCATGGAAACATGTGGCAGTCTGGTTTTCTGCACTCTGGCTGTCTGCTGGACCGGACGTATATCTAGCATCTCCTCCGTTTATGCAACCTCATCTAGGATAGTTCATATGACCCCCCCCCCCACACACACCCCCCTCCCCGGCAAACAGAATAGTCACTGCCAACCTCCCAAGCTACAAGCGCTGGCTGCCATCTCTCTTTGCGGCTATATAATCCCGCCAGAGTTGGGAGAAATCTGTGGCTGAGTTTTCGCAGGGCAAAAGTGTATCCGAACAGTTTTCCTTGGGTGAGTCAAGGGCTCATGAAGCAGGGGAAGTCTGTTCACGAACTCTGCCACAGCAGTCTCGGCTTGCATGGTGTATTCTATGCAGACCATCGCCACATCTTCGAGCACCGCAGCGCAAGGTCAAGCTCTCTCCAAAATGTGTCTCTTCTCATCTTCTGGGAGAATACAACTGTCCATGGAACTGCCACCCACTTCAAGGAAGTCCTCATAGGGCGGCAGAGCCTAACACCACAGTCATGCAAAGGAGAGACTGACGCGCCATAGACGTTGAGTACCATAAGGATGCTTTCAGATCCACTTTCCTGCTCACACTGCCTGTGTCACCCAGGAAATTCACTGCCTGGTGCAAGCCATCCCTGTCAAATTCAGTTCGATTCCTCCACTTAATCAGCTGTGCTTTGCTGTAGTTTGCTTCCCCATCCATAAGTCCAGGCTTGGCCCCGAGAGTGGAACATACCCTGAAAATATTTCACCCTGGTGTACACTGTATAAATATCAGCTACTGGTGTAGAAATCAGCGCACCGCAGCCAATACTCATAAAATATAAACAGCAGACAGAAAATCTTCTCCAGTCAGTCCATTCCACAAATAATGACACCTATTTGTGTGTATTACATGGTACAAAGAAGGGCATTCTGTGTCGTGTGACTACAAACGCTCCCTTTAACCAAAGGCAGATCAGTACAAGAAAATGCATAAAATATCTCACCAGGAGCTAAATACTTCCCAACCTTTCCACAACATTATTATTTTGAGTACATAATTGCACAGGCAATTACATTTAGAAGCTTTCTGCCCATTTGGGTCAAACATAAAGGCTGTGTCTAGACTGGCCAGTTTTTCTGGAAAATCAGCCGCTTTTCTGGAAAAACTTGCCAGCTGTCTACACTGGCCGCTTGAATTTCCGCAAAAGCACTGACTTCCTACTGTAAGAAATCAGTGCTTCTTGTGGAAATACTGTGCTGCTCCCGTTCGGGCAAAAGTCCCTTTTGCACAAAACTTTTGCTCAAAAGGGCCAGTGTAGACAGCTGAGATTTGTTTTCCGCAAAAAAGCCCTGATCGCGAAAATGGCGATTGGGGCTTTTTTGCACAAAAGCGCGTCTAGATTGGCCATGGACACTTTTCCACAAAAAGTGCTTTTGCGGAAAAGCATCTGTGCCAATCTAGACGTGCTTTTCTGAAAATGCTTTTAACGGAAAATTTTTCCGTTAAAAGCATTTCCAGACAATCATGCCAGTGTAGACGTAGCCAAACTGTGTTTCTTCAAGTTACGGCCTTTTGGGTGATGTTATGATATTTTTTTACATTGGAAGCCCGGTAACATTTGAACATTACATGGTACAGAGTAACTTCGCCACTTCCATCAGCTGCAAAAACCTTAGCTGGGTGCCCAACATGTAGTAGCAACAATATTTTTCCAGATTCTGGCTTGCATTGTGCTAAGTAACAGAGGGGTGGCCATGTTTGTCTGCCTCTGCGAAAATAACGAGCCCAAATAAATCTGTTAGGTGCCACTGGACTTCTCGTTGATCTAGCTGATGGGTTCCCCCAACTCGTTCATGTGACCCCCTTTTTAAATCTGTCGGGCCGACTGCTCCGACACCAAGGTTTGCCCTGGCTGGAGCTCAGGGAATGCTTTGCTGCGGATCCTGTACGAGGTGTAGGCTTCAGCGCTCTCTGCCAGAGTCGTGCCAGCATCGCAGCGCTCACAAGTGGAACAGAACAGGCTGCCTTCCGCTCCTCTGCTCAGCAGGTCTGGCTGTGCCGACGGGCTGGGAGCAGATCAGCAAAGTGAGGAGCTGCACGGCCCCCCCCGGGAGGAGACCTGCCTGTAGCTGGGGCTGTGGTTCGGACCATGCCCCCAAAGGGTGAGCCGGCACGAGCGGCAAACCCCAGGAACCCTCCTTCCCTCTCTCTCGGCAGAGTTCGCAAAGCTGATCCAGCTGCTCTGGACCTCGCCCCCCAACGAAGCAGTGAGCCCCTCGGAATTCAAGACCCAGATCCAGAGATACGCGCCCCGCTTTGTCGGCTACAAGTAAGGCCCGGCCGCAGCCGCGGCTCGACCGGGCGGGGGGGGGGCCCGGGCGGGGCGGTTGTCTATTCCAGCCAGCAGGACGCACAGGAATTCCTGCGCTTCCTCCTCGACGGGCTCCACAGCGAGGTGAACCGGGTGCTAGTGCGGCCCCGATCCAACCTGGACAACCTGGACCACCTCCCGTGAGTAGGCAGCGCAGGCGCGGCGCGAGCAGGGTGCCTCTCTCACAGCACCCTGGGGAGCTGCCTCCGTCCCTGCAGAGCAGCATCCAGGCTGTGGACGCACAGGAATTCCTGCGCTTCCTCCTCGACGGGCTCCACAGCGAGGTGAACCGGGTGCTAGTGCGGCCCCGATCCAACCTGGACAACCTGGACCACCTCCCGTGAGTAGGCAGCGCAGGCGCGGCGCGAGCAGGGTGCCTCTCTCACAGCACCCTGGGGAGCTGCCTCCGTCCCTGCAGAGCAGCATCCAGGCTGTACCCCGGGGCGACGCTCCCCGCCGGCTCGTTGCCAGCCTGGGGATTCCCAGAGGGGGGTGCCAGCTGCTAAACCCTGCAGTGCCCGCCGTGGCCAGCTCTTTCCATGGGCTGGTTCTGAGCACGTCCAGCTTGGTGGCGGCTGGACCCCACTGGCAGCAAACTCCCCAGCTGGTAGAACCCACCCGTGACGGGGCGTGGGGGCTGCAGGCACGGAGGGGAGACTAAGCAACAAGCCCAGAGGAAGGAAAATCACCCTGGATCCCAAACTGGAGGGGTTAGCTGCCCCCCTGCCCACCAAAGGACCAAGCAGGCCTGCTGGTGAGAGAGGCGCTCTTCTCCCCACACGGCACAAGCACTGCTCGGGGTGGGCTTGGGGCCGGGGGGCGTTCTGCATGCCTGCCCGCCGGGAGGTCGTGGGGCGTAGCAGCAAGAGAGCAGCGCTAGCCCTGGAGTTAGTGCTCTGCAGACCCTAAACACATGGGCTACGTCTACACCGGCGCGTCTACACTGGCAGGTGCTTTTGCGCAAGAGCATCCGTGGCAGTGTGGACGCTCTTGCGTAAGAAAGTCATGTTGCCTGTCTACACTGGTGTCTTCTGGAAGAGCTCTTGTGCAAGAGGGCTTCTTCCTGAGCGGGAGCATCAGAGTTCTGGTGCAAGAAGCCCCGATTTCATACAGTAGAACGTCAGTTTACTTGTGCAAGAACACGCGGCCAGTGTAGACAGGCAGCAAGTTTTTGAGCAAGAGCAGCTGCTTTTGCGCGAGATCGCGCCAGTGTAGACACAGCCATGGAGTCCCCAGGCTGGAGGCGTGGGGGTGAGGCTCTGGGCTCTCCACTCACTCAGCTTGCTAGCCATCAGCTGCTCCAACCCCGATGGACCTCAGGAGCAGAGCTGCTCTCCCAGCATCCGTCCTGGACCAGTGATCCGACCCCAAAGGGTTTAGCTCCCTCTCAGCAGGATGCTTCTGCCTGCAGCCTGCAGTGCAGCTGGGCGAGGCGCTGGGCATCTCTCACGTGCTCTCTGTCCTCTTTGTCCCCTGCAGCGATGATGAAAAAGGGAGGCAGATGTGGAGGAGATACCAGGAGCGGGAGGATAGCCGGATTGGGGGTGAGTGCCTGGGCAGCCACGCCCGGGGAGGGGATGGGTGCAGGGGGTGGATGGAAGGTCGCAGGGCCCAGCGAGTGAAGTGGGGAGAAGGGGGATCACCGTGTCTGTGGAGGGCTGGGCTTGGGGGTTCCATGGGGCAGTCGCGTCGGGAGGTGGGGAGGGCATGCGTGAGGGAGAGGATGCTTCACGGCCTTAGTGCACGACAGCCCAGGGACATTACAGAACTGCCTTGGCTCTAGCTGGGACACAGAGAGCTGGGTCTGCTACACCCCATAGATCCAGCTCCTAGCAGTGCAGGGCTGGGGGCAGAGCTCTGCCCGGCGAGGACGGGCCATGCAGCACCTTGAGCCTCTCCCGCCCCCTCTCCTTCCCAGATCTCTTTGTCGGGCAGCTGAAGAGCTCGCTGACCTGCAGTGAGTGCGGCTACTGCTCCACGGCCTTCGACCCCTTCTGGGACCTGTCCCTGCCGATCGCCAAGGTAACGCCCGCGCCCCGCCTGCCGCTCAGTCCCCCCCCCCCCCCCCCCCTGC